AATAATAAATTGTATCAAAGACGAAAAAGTGTTGGTGATCTTATCGTCTCTCTCACACAGAAATCTAAGGCGATTCATGGATTTCCTCTCGCGATTCAGCTATTTGCCTTTGAGGTGATTCCGGATCTGAAGCAGCTTAGACCAAATCTTGAAGATCAAAGTGTTTTTACGGAACGTTCCATCCACAATTTGTCAAAGATTCGACCAATCCACGCTGACAAGATTATGGATTTAGAAAAATCCAGAAATGTAAGTGTTCTTTAACTTTTGGTCCATATCTTTTCTTCAAATTATTACTCAATCCGTTGGCTAGCTAATGTGTTTTATATTGTGGTACTTCGTAGGTACTTGTGGATTCAATTCTTCATGCTGATGACCCAGCTCCTGGAGATTCTTTTCTGTGGAAAGATGACGATGTTGATTCCTGTGTCGTGTACGTAGAAAAACTTCTAAAAGATGGATTTGAATTCGATGATAAGAATTGGCTTGGTGGTGAAGTCTCGTATCCCTCAGGTACATTATGTCATGCTGTTCATTTCCATTCCACATGTGTTTACACAACATTAGAGCCTAATCGTCTATTTCTTGCCGTTAACAGGGAAAAGAAAGGCAAAAAAATAGAACAAAAAAGTTCAATTTGAAGAGCCTAATAGAAGGATGGGAAAGAAGTCTGTCCGGGAAGAGCGCATTAATGAAAGCGATGATGATGATGACTTTGTACAACCATTCAAGAGAACTAAAGGAATAAAAACAGTTGGGGATTATCGGGAGAAGCAGAGGACATCAAAGATTGACAATGATGTACGTGGAGAAGAGAATGTTCTACATGGGCACAGTTCAAGCTCTCATCAAGCTCCGAGCATTATTGTTGAATTAAGACATGGTTTGTTGCTTCAAAGACAGCACACCGACAATGCTACTGAGGGATTGAAAACTTTTATTGAGAAAAAGATTAGCGAAGCTCTAACCAATATTATGGACTTATTTGAAGCTCCATCTCCTATTGTACATCACTCAACCCGTAGGGCAAAATCAATGGTTACCAATAGAAATGGTCCTTCTCCCTCTGTACCAACTCGTTCCGGGCTTAGTCCTCAACTCAGGCAAAATTTTTAAAGGTATGCTTTTGTACATGATAAATGATATTATATATTCACCAACTCTAAGATTTTTTGTTTTTTTAAGGGAATTAACTCAACTATTTTCTCTTCCAACGTTTCTGTAAGGAAATTCGGCCTTCTACGTCGGACACACACGTACATAAACCTAATGTCTCTGTTTTGCAACCAATGGTGGATGTACAACAACCGGTTGACGATATACACTTGATGAAGGAGTCAAATAAACAGCCACCCTCACCCTCTCTTGTCGCCGAGCTTCCTGATCTTCCCATACTTGATGATGAAACTATACCTTTAAATACCGATGAAGTACCTCATACCTCTGTTCTCAATGTACGTACATCTGATGAGGATACAGATAAGTTACTAGTACAGAAAACAGCAGGAGTTGTAACAGATGCATCATGTAAGGAGGCCCAAGTTGAAGATGCTTATAAGGATATGGACGTAGGTGATGTACACCTATCCTCTACTTTGAATGTACGTACAACAGAGGATAAGGAGGCTCAGCTACAAGATGGTTTGCAACCAAGGGTGGATGTACAACCACCTCAGGCTGTTAATGTAAGTACATCAGCAGAGCATAAGGAAACTAATCTACGAGATGGCTCTCCTGGTGATGTACGCACGTCAGCAAAGGGAAAGGAGACTGGTGATGTACGGGTTTCCTCTCCTGTTAATGTACGTACGTCATCACCGGATAAGGAGGCTGAGGTAGAAAAGGGTTATAAATTTATTGATGTTTTTGATGTACGACATTGCTCTCCTGTTGATGAATCAGTTGAATATGGTTCTAAGGTGCCGGTTGAAGATAGTTTTAAGGTTGGCTCTAAAGAAGAGTCTGAAGACAAGTCCCCTACTCGCATTATAGATAGTGTATACRTACTTTCTCTTCCCTCATGTCTTTTAGATGAATTACACTCTGATGCTTAGACTGTTTACTGTGTTTAAGGTTCTTCAAAATTTGAACTGCGGAGTTCTTGATGGTGGAGAAGCAGTGAAAGATGTTCAGCGCCAAGACAGTAGGAGGGATTTTTCGATAAGGATTAGGATTCCAACAGCAAAGATGCATGAATATATTGCCACTGTGCAGAAACCGAAACCTGTTCCACCTAGAAGCTGCCAATACAATCCTTTTTGTGGCATGAATCTAGACTATTTCTATCAACTTAATGATGTCTTAGGAGTGGAGGAAAGGTACAAACTTATTTTTGTAACTCATCATCTTATTATCGTATTATAGATTATTTTTTTAGTAAATAATTCTTATTTTTTTCTTTTTCACCAACTTTCTCTATTTGCAGGACCTTCAATATTTTTTGTCATTGCAAAATTCGCAGGGATTTTTTTGACGAACTTGGCAGGCCAAAATGCTGGTTACACTCTACGGTATACTTACTTTTTCCTAAACTTGTTTACATATTTTAACATCATGTACGTATATCCCTGTGTTATTTATCATAATGCACGTACTATTATGTTTGTTTACCATCATGTACGTAACATCATGTACGTATATCCCTGTTTTTTTAATACCATGTATGTACTTTATTTTTTTGATCACTCATGCATAATGTATGTATATCCATGTTTATTTTTTACAACACATGGAAATGATTTCCCTTATGTTGTGGCGGAAGTCAGGAGAGCTAATGAAAGCCAATCGATGCACTCTTGTTGGCCCTCTCTTTGTTTTTGAACTTGAGCAACAGTTCAAAGCGTTTAAAGTTTTAATAGAGAAAGAGTGTTTCCGTTGGAGCACATCCTTAATTCGTATTGTAAGCGGAGATCCAGGT